GCAAGTTGTTCGCTTTAAACAAATCAGCTATCAGATTGCTTGTAATGAAGCACCAGTTTGTAATGAAGCATGTTAACCCCAAAGTGATCTGCGGTGAAATCAAAGCAAAAATGTTTTCTCCAAACAGTTTTGTGATAGCAGCCTTACTGGTATTATGTTGGTAGCGTAACAACGCAAAGACGTCATAACGTCTAAGGGTGATCTGCGTTGAATAGCTTGGAATTGCCTGTATCACTTTTCAATTCCTGTTTTGAATCCTTTTTTGAAAAATAAATAAATAAATAAATAAATAAATAAAAAATAAAATTAAAAAAAAAATCTGAAATGTTTCAGATTTTAAATTACGTCCAAAGGGGCGTTTTTTACATTTTGTGTGTTACCTTTCTTTATTAAATATCATGTTCCTCGCACTTAAACCATAAGATACTAATATAAAATCAGAAAGTTTTCTAATTTCTTTCTTTTTTTTCCATCTCTGTATGTAATGAATGTTTTCTTTTATGCATAAACATGTTTACTCCCTTTATACGCTGTTTGGTATTAATCAAAGTTTTACTTTTACATTTTTGTTCAAGTTGTCGTAGCGTAAATTTTGGATGTCAGTGTTTTGTTTCCCAACAACGATAACATCTGCCAAACATAACTGAAGTAAATAAGGTAACCTATTATAAAAGAGATCGTAATTTTATGTTGAATAATAAATTGGCTATTAAATTTCTGCACTATGAACAATGAGAGCAACAGCGCTCAAATTTGCGTAAAAGGTAGAAGATGCAGGAATATGCAAAAGTTAGCGTTTTCCAGCATGCAATTACACTGACTACCAATAAGTATTTGGACACCTATGCAAATGACGATATCTGCGGTCCTAAGGTACGTCACGGACTCCGCCGGTATATATCGTGTAGGAAACAGCATCGGCTTTAGTCGTATGCAAGATGCCTCGCAGTTCGGAGCTCTCTGATTTCGAGAAAGGTATAATTATCGGGTATCAGAAATGTTGCCGATCCTTAAGGGACATATCTAGCAATCTGAAGTACCCAAAATCGACAGTGGCCTATGTGATTAAGAAATGGAAGGTGAGCGGTGAATGTTGGAATGTACCCCGAGTCGGCAGACCAACGAAACTGGGAGATAGAGACCGACGAGTGCTGTCCAGAGAAAATTCGGAAGAACCGCACCCAACCGATGGCCCTCATCCGCGAGGAGTTTCAACAGGCATCTGGGAGTATTTTTTCAATGAATATCATCCGTAAGGGTCTGGGTCTGGTGTCTACCTGGAGAAGGTCTCCTGCCGGAATGCATTGTGCCAACAGTTAAGTTCGGCGGAGGTGGAATTATGGTCTGGAAGTGTTTCTCCCGTTTTGAGCTGGGACCCTTGGTCCCCATTCATGGTAAGCTCAACTCCGATGCCTACTGCACTATTTTGGATGACAATGTGCTTCCTACGTTGTGGCAGTTTTACGGGTTGGACCCCTGTTCAGGACGACAATGCCAGTTGTCATGTTTCGACTTTAACCAAGGCTTGGTATGGTGCCAATGGAGTTCATCGAATGGACTGGCCTCTACAAAGTCCAGACCTGAACCCTATCGAAAACCTCTGGGACGAGTTGCATCGCCGAATTCAGGGGTGCACTACCTGTGCAAAATCGGTGAAGGAAATTCTATGTCTTCTCCAAGCCGAGTGGAAGAAAATACCACTAGCTGTCATACAATGACTTGTGGAAAGTATGCCCCGGAGGGTCCACGCTGTAATTACGTCTCGTGGAGGCTCTATCAACTATTGATTTAGAATAAAGTTAGTTTTTCGTTTCTATCACAGGTGTCCAAATACTTATTGGTAGTCAGTGTATAACAATCAAGCATGATAAATGACACCCAGAAGTAGTACATAAAAACAAGTGACTGAAATACCGACATTTTATTTGGGCATTTTTTGAATTAGGATATGTCTGTCGTAAGAAGAATGAACTCATACTTGATAAAAAGAGCAACAAATATGAAAGCTTTCGTATTTTATATTACTACCAAAGGGGCGTTTTTTAACGTATTGTGCGTTACCTTTATTTGCTAAATATCATGTTATTCGCATTTAAACCATAAAATTCAATTCAAGAGCAATATTACAAAATATTTAGAAACAGCATATATTAAGAATTTCTGAGGAGATTAAAATGTTTTCCCCCGTACAGTGTTGTCATTGCTCACTTTGAAAATTTTGAGTTTCGTAATCGAAAACTCATAAATGCTTTACCAAACATGAAATAGATAATGAAACAAATTCCAAATTTCAAGTTTGGCTTTCCAGATGCCCATATTCGGGTGCAGACGTACGTTATTCAAAATTGGATGGCTCTAGGTACCGTTGTTTTACCACACTGCGAGAAACATACATATATTAATCAGATTCTTTATTAATTTCTTTAAATATAATACCGGGCTCTAATATTTTATAAAGCGCTTCGCCGTTTACAGTGAATCACAGCAAAATGCCAAAAGAAAATTAATAGCTCATCTGGGCGAATTGCCCCTTTTGGTCTAATAATTACGTTTAATAATTTTTTCAAAGGAGACAGGTAGATTATCGGGGTTTCATATTTTAATTTAGCATAATTCCGGCTTGCATTCGTTGAGAGATTATGACTAAATTTGTAAATGGTGGGTTGGAAATCCAATAGCTATGATCAAAAAACAAACAAATACGCATTTAATTTAAAAGTCAAATAACACAATCAGCGTTATATTTGCTAACTTTCACAGGACTAGTTTCGATGGTTTTACCGAACCATCACCTTCAGCTGTCAAAGTGCAAATGAACGATATACGATATAGTTTAAAAGGTAAGGTAAGATGAGATAAGAATGGCCGGACAGGAGTTAAGCTACTGGCGCCATCTAGTGATGAAAAGAGAACTAAAACTTAATCTCCTTAAAGACTGAAGGCAAAGATGGATTGGAATTAGGATCGTTAACCAGAACAGAATGATTGTTTGACTGTGAAACGCCTCCAGAAAATCTAATTGACGAAAGTCAAAGAGAAACGAAAGAAGATTTTTTTGAGTAATTTTGCCGGCATAAAAATTTAAAATGTGATTTTCGAACCAACAGTGCTGAGCAACAGAGGACTTTTATGTTTCATTTTTCCTAACATCTGCCTCATGTTCTTTGACGCGAAATTTTATGGCTCTCTTAGTTTGACCAATGTAAATAAAAACCCAATAGCAAGGAATCCTGTAAATACCCTAGGAATTTCTATCCATATATAGCATATTTGCACTTTGACAGCTGAGACTTATGGTTTAGTAAAACTATCAAAACTAGTCCTGTGAAAATTTGCAAATATAACGCTGGTTTTTAGACTTCTAAATTAATATTTGTTCGACGTGTTATTTTAACCTAAATATCCACTTGTTTGAGCACATTTCTGAAGTCACAATCAGCAGCCATTCAAATACAGAATGCTAAATAATTGACATGCGAAGCAAATATATATACACCAACCTGTACGCATTTATTTTTATTATTATCAAAAACTTCAACTTTCAAAATAGGTGAAGGCAAACCTGTCAGTCTGCATTCCAATTCCAGAATCCCAAAGTGCATTTGCTTTGAAATTTCTCGCAGGAGACGTCAAGAGTTTGTCACTGTTTTTCACAAGTAAAACGCAAAATCATGTTCAATATTTGTTTCTGACTAAATTTTACAATGATAGAAAAGGGTTTCTGCTCTTTCAAAGACTTTTTTTAAAACTTTTTATTATTGGATAAATTTAAAAAGAAAGCTGGTGCGTCAATAGAAAGATTTCATTTTTAATGCGCCCAGTCGTCTTTAAATTTGTGCACATAGTCTGAAAGAAAGATGTAGTTTGCAGTTGTGGATTCAAATATTTAACACGTCTCGAAATTTACTAGTTAAAATTTGATTTAAAATTTTTTGCTAATAGAAATAAAAAAAAAAATGTAGTTCGTATAAACTAAACAACAAATGTATTTCTTACAGCATTACAAAAGCATCCATAGTGAGAACATATATCAGCTTTTCAGTATTTTAAAGTTGTAATTTTACTAACTTGGCTAAGTTCATGCAAAAGCAACTTATGTAAAATGTAAAAGCTCTCAGATTTTATTTTGTGTCCGAAAAAGCTGCTTTTTTTTTTTTTTTTTTTTTTTTTTTTAACATTTTGTATGTTACCTTTATTTACTAAATATCATATTCTTCGCACTCAAACCATAAAATTCAATACAACAGCATATTTTTAGTTTCCGATAGACAGTCTCGCAGGCTCGAGATAAAAATGCGTTTCTTTACGTGCAGTGTTGCCATTGCTTGCTTTAAAATAATTGAGTTTGTTAATCGAAAATTCGTTAATGTTTTGCAAAATATGAACTACATAATAAAAAAAAAATCCAAATTACGTTTCCAGATGTCCATATGCGCGTGGAGGACTACGTTATTTAAAATTTGATGTCTCTAGATACCTTTGTTTTTCATAGCCGAGAAATATACTTATATTCATTAAGAATCTTCATTACTTAATTTCTTTAAATATTACTCAGGGCTCTAATATTTGGTGGCAACAGTTTGAAAAGTATAACGCCATTTAAAGTGAACCAACGCAAAATGTTAAAACGAAATTAATAGTCCTTCTAGGAAATTTCCCTTTTGGGCTAACAATGGGAGAAAAAAGTTTGCAGTACCCTCAAAATATACTTATTTATGTATCTGAAACTTAATATCAGAATAAATTATTTCTGCGTTATAACATACTATAAAGTAGAGATTTTATTGGAAAACTATCATGACCTAATGTAGGTCCTTCTAAGTTAAGAAGTTTTTCTAATATTTGCACACTAGTTCATCCAGTTGGAAATAACAAAGTATTAATTTTTTTTTTTTTTTTTTTTTTTTTTTTTTTTTCAAAATACTTAATTCGAAACTAAAAATTAGTGGAATCGAGATAAAAAAAAAAAAAAAAAAAAAAAAAGTGAATCGTTTTCTCACCAACTACGTGCACGTCTATTCTTCCTCTTGCGGAAACTCCTCTGTTATTACCCGCTGTGCACCAGTACGTACCATCGTCAGTGTTTTTTTCCACATAATGAATCACGATTTTTCCATTAGGTCTCACTTCGTGACGGTGACTGTTTGGAAGGCTTTCACCATCTGTTGAAAATAAAACAAAAAAGTTATTGATATATTCAGTTATTGTCCAGTACATCTATATATTAGCAACTTCTTATCTTTTCACTATTTTGTAACCTTCCGCTAACTTATATATAATATAAAGGCGGTAATAATTTCAGTCCAAAAATCCGACAGTGAGTTTTCCGTGAAAAAGCACAAATCAGGGTCCCCGCAATACGCTTTTTTTTTCCTATCTTCACAATGATGTGTGTCTATCTGTGTATATGTGTGCGGGGATTTTTTTCGTTCAAGATAACTCTTATATCACACTTCCAAGAATTTCTATTTTTCGTCTTTACGATTTCCGCACTCATATAAAGAGTTGATTAGATTTGGGGTAAACTAAAACAACCAGAAGTGGTGTTTGACTTGAAGCCCATAACAGTTTTGTGACAATCAACATTGTATAATTATACATATAACATTGTATTGTTACAATACATATAACATTGTATTGTAAGTATAAACCATAAAATGTCGCTGCAAATGAATGAGCATTAATTACTGATGCATAAATGTTGCGAGGATAAACACAGAAAAAAAAACAAATTTAGACTTGTTTATACTATGGAAATAATAAAAAAGAAAATTAAAGTATGATATTCGTTTCAAAGTATTTATTTTAAATATTCATGTACCATAACCACTCAGGTTTCTTTAATTAAAAGCCAGCTAAATTATATGCTATTCAATGGCCCAATAAAATACCATTTTTAATAAAACATAAATATATAAAGGAGCAAACACATCACTATGTTGCTTTAAATTCAGACAAAAAATTCTGATGTGTACACCACATGACATTCTTGTACGGAATATTAAACTATACGCATTTTTTCTTGCATTTTGTTTTTTGTTCATATTATAACTCAGAATGCACAAAATTTTTATCATTTAAAGAATTATCTAATCGTTGCCACATGTTCTATTCAAGTATTATAATAAAGCTAGAACGATGTATAAAAAAAATTAAGCAAACAAGACAAAAAAGGAACAGTGTTTCACAGATGATTGAGTATTTCTCATTCAATTAATTCAGTTCTCACTTCGAGACAAGGCAAAAATACATAAAAACTCAAAATATCTCTAGTAAAAATTATTAATTATTAAAAATTAAATTACTAATTATTAAAAATTAAGTAAATCTTAAACGCTTATTTCCTCGAAAAATTTTCAGAAAGGATTAAGTATGATTTAAATCGCAATAATAAATGAAGGCGTTTATCTTTGTTGTTTCGAAGCTACGTTTCTCTAGATTGGCAACAAATTCACTACTCAGCTGTTTCAAATGTAAACAAGCAATGGCCGCCATCAAAATAGGCTTAGCGGCCCTTCAACAACTTTTAAATTGTTGATAATTCTAAAAATATTGCATACAGATTTACTAAAAGCATAAAACCCTTAACCGGAAGATAAAAACAGCATAATTCAATCATCTTTAAAGAAAAAAATGTACAATTTACAAACATATAAGAGTAAAGAAACTGAGATCACTGAGCCGGGTGACAGAGTCTTTATATATTTATAAACATATTTATATACGTTTGGCGCGGTTGATTGAAACCAAAATACGAGGTGCACATCTACATGTTATAATAGTCCTATATACAAAATTTCAAAGTTCTGAGGCTACTCATTTTTGAGTTATGCGAGATACGTACGTACGAAAAATTCTCTTCAGAATTCATTTTAAAGCAGTTTTTTTAGTTTTTTTTGGAGGAAAAGAGTTTTTTATTCTGTCCTTACGTACGGATATCACACGAAAACATCGTTAAATTGCATTCGAAATCGGTCAAAATTGGATATTTACGTTGAAATATGCTGCCTGAAGCTTTTCGCGATTACAGTACTTCCTTTTTACTTCGTACAAGGAAGTAAAAAAGGCAGATTTTACACATGGCCCATTTGGGCTAATAAAATAAAAATCCAAAATTTGGTGTTATATACTTTGTTATTTATTGCAACAACACATTAGATTTTGTTTACAAAAGATCAACGTGAGTGATAATTTACTTAAGTCTCATTGCTTTTTCAAATGGTACTGGTGGGAGATCATGTGCTGGTCACATCAAATATTTTTCTTTTAACCCCGTTTTTACCACTTACGTAATGTTGCGCTAGATAGTGAAGCCAATACAGAGTTGCGTTTAAGTTAACAGATAAGCATATTGTTATGATTAATATATTTCTCGACAGGATTGAAAGATCCTATAAAGGATAAACAGTGTAAATGCTGATTTTTTTTTCATTGTGTATTTGAATTTTATTTATTTTTGCAATACTAGATAAATTCACAAAGATCTCCTTTACCTGAACAAGGAAAATCCAAAAATCGCAAGATATGTCCCCTGCTTAGAATAATATGACACAGAACGTCTACACAGCCTTATGTGAAAACCCATCTTTAGCATAATCCCTCATCATGTAGGTAACAATTCTTATAACTATCTAATTTTAACTAAAACTATGTTTCTTTAAAAGTTCGTAAATTATTACCTTACTAAAGCATAACAGTCACGGAACTACGAGGATCTCATTTAAATATCGTAGAAGATGTTTCATTATATTTTCTTTGAAAATTATTATAATTAAAAATGATGCATATAAACGTACAACTTGCATACGCACACACAAAAAAATAGGGATAGTTTTATATCTTCTGTTCTGTTGCGCCGATTGACGAAATTTACATTTCGTTTTTCATGCCTCAAAAGTGAGACTTAGGCTCTATATCAGACTTTATATATAGCATTGTTCTAACATAGGTATTTTGACACAAGATTAGACATTTTCTGAAATCACAGTCATGAATCGTTTCCCTATTTTGACTCTACTACTGAAATTGTCTCAAAGTGCCAAATTTTGGAAAAACCGCACGATTTGTTCTTAAAAACGTAGCTCTAAAATTTTAGCTCTCCAACGATAACTGAATTTCGTATATACTTATAAATACCTCTTTTTTTTATTAAACTTACTTGATTCCTTCTTTGACAATTCGAAATTTAAATACAATCCAAATAAAATTCACTGCAATTTTTTTAATTTTTCTTTAAAATTTGTATTTTTTAGTAGATTTTATGAAGTTTATAAAACATTTTTGAGTTATAACCTGCAGAAATTTTACCGTCTTCCTAAAGTAGATGTATTAGGTATACCTGTAAAAAATTAGTTTTTTTATTTAAATTTTTCAAAAATATAAGGAAATTTATATATTGGCACGTTTTGAAAATTACCATATTTGTTATAAGCGATATTAATACCAAATGTGCTTTACGCTCTTCATTAAAATTAGTTGAAAGAATGAACGATTCATTTTTTCTTCTGCTCTTGCACAATGTAGGAAAGAAAAGAAAATAGGTTGCTATAAATTAAAAATTTCGCCAAGTGAATTAAATTCTCGCAAATTGAAAAAAGTGAGCCAGGATAAATTTTTAACTATCTCGGTAAGCTTCTCATCAAATTTTACAAAATTTATTACTCGGGTATAATTTGAGTCGTAGAATGGAAATGTGGAAAATAATCAGTACGTCGTTTCAAACAAAGCTCAATTTTGTGTCAAAATACAGCTGTTTGAAAAATGCTGTATATACATGCTGTATCATATATCTCGGATGGCCCACCAGCGGCCTAGCGGTAAAGTAGCTGCACACGAGTGGTTCGCTCCGAGGTTCGAATCATTTAAAAGGAATGGCTGCATGGAAGTTTTCGTGGTTTTCTCCATGTGTAAAGTGAGCCAGTTTACCTGAGAACGTCCTTCGCGAAGGCAATCATCTCTTTAAACAGACAGATTTTGCCGCAATCATGTACTAAACAAGACCTCGAGCTTTCGAGAAATGGAAAAAGCAAGTTAAATTTCGTCCATTGGTTCAATAGAGGGGGAGATTTTTAATTGTAAACCTTTCTTTGGGCAGGGTTTACATATATTACAATAAAAATAAGAAAGGTATGTAACACAAAACAGATAAAAGTTACAAATTTACAAGAATTACTGAATGAACAGATTAAGAAAATATAATGCCACTCTCTTCAGAAAGAAAATATCTGATTACTCGTCTAATTTCTTTACATTTATTACATTCTTTACATTTTCTCCTTTTGCATAAAATGAGAAATTTACTTTCGTTTATGCATCATTTTGTTACTTTTGCATCAGGTAACGTCTCCGCAACATGCGAGGCCATGAAAACAGAGAAAATCCATCCCAGAGAAAGCTCAGGAGCAAAGTCAGTCACAGACGGCGACAAGGGTCCACAGGCCAGGAAGAGGGGTCCGGAATTCCAGTTCCCGCAACGTCGGAGACTCGTCGGCCTATGTTTTTTGTTGACTTAAGCTAGATAGTACTGTACATATTAATTGCCGGTTTGTCTATATCAATTGTAGGGCTAAGAGCCAATTCGCGCTAATTATCTCTGTGTAGCTTCGGTTGATTGTTTAACTTAGTTTTAAGTTTATATTTCCAGCTTGAATTGCAGCCAAAAGTATTGGCTCAGTTTGTAAGCAAGGACCAGGAGTCTGTAAGCACCAGGAGTGCCACCTAACCTCTTCTTACATTGATACAGTTATAGTCGTTTCACAGTCCAAGTAATGATCTAGACAGCAAAAAAGAAAGATAATTTGGCTAGAATCTTACATCGCTGAATAAAATAGCTATAAAAACTTATCTAGCACATCTTGTTGTCTATTCTATGAAACAAAATTAAAGCTGGAATTCTAATTTTTGTTGTTTGACTTCTGAACTGGAATTCTAACTCTATATTTTTACTTCCAGAATATAAGTTTATTTTCAGTTTGAGCAAAAGGCTTAAATTAGTCGACTTGTGACCAGCAGAAGAATAAAGGCCTTACTAAAATCAATTAAACAATAACTCAAAACTAACTTAACAATTTGCATGAGCGATAAATGTTCGTCTCTTTTAAAATAATATGCCCCAAAAATACTTGAATAATCTCTAGCTTGCAATTAGGTAAATTTAACCTAA